GCTAGAGTTCTTCTGTGGGTAAGTTCTTTGCTTCTTTTTGTGGGAGGGGCGACGGTGTTTGCGTGGTCAGCCCTTGTGCATAGTTAGGGGTTGCGTATGTGTTGGACTGAGAAAAGAATGTGTGAATCTGGATAAAATGATGTCAACAATAGGCCGGCACATGCATATTCTGGGTTGTATCCTCCACCGCGCTGCACACGGACAAACTGCTCAGGCACCCTCTTTGCGCCAGTCCTGACTGATGATAGCTTTTGGGACTTCGAGAAGAAAGGGAAGAAGGCGTGTGGTGCTGGTACTTTCACACAAAAACATGACACTTATGGCTCAAGGAGGGTTGCAGATCCAAATTAAGAATCTATATAGATGCGGATACACGTAATGCTTATCGTACCAGACAGATAGTTGGAGAAAAGAAGACGAGACTGGAAAGACATCATGAGCTATCGACAGAGGCTGCCGCTAACCGTCACGTGCGCTTTGGTGCCTTGATGGCAGGTGTCTTTGCTCATCACCTTGGGCAAGATGGACGCAAGCCTTAAGCCGCTCGGGCTGTGGTCTAAAGTTCAGTGCGCTCTTGATCTGAGTGGGATGATGTAGTGGCATGATAGGTCTGATGATGTCGCAGTCCCACCATCCTGGAGTGTTTTGTTTTTCGCATTGGTTTTTGCAACATTGAAGGCTTTCCATGAATTTCCATCAAGCCTTGCAAGCATCCCTCACTTCAAGGACCATGCGACCGTTTGACCACCGGCCGATTTACGAGCACTGCGTCGTCGTCCCACAGCGTCGTCTTCCACGGATTCCTCCATGGACTCGGATGGAATCCGCACGACCCGTCGCTGGTGCAGGTGGGACTCCCTCCTGCAGAGCGGGGGAGCAGTGCCAGTTCCCTCGGACGTGGAGGTCGTCGGCGCGGAGGAGGCCGCCGTCGCGTCGTAGGGCTGGGGCGTTCGGGCGTTCGGAAGGGTTGCCCTTCACGAACAAAAAGACGTGTTTTGTTCGAAGAGATCTTCTTGGAGATCCAGGCAATTAATGGCTATTTATAGATTTACCTTATATTTGTAAGGCTTTAAGGTGGACACAGTCAGGAAGCCATACCTGCTATCCTTGTTCCACTATCACTTGGTTGTTTTTGGTTGTTCTTTGCTGCCAGGTTGGAGAAAGTGTGTGGGGGGGAGAGGAACGTGCTGCTACTCATTTTTGCCGGACTTCGATGGAACTTCAGAGCTTTTGCGGGATCCCGAGGTCCTTTGCAACATCTTTGGCACCCTTTGCAACCGCCCATGTCGTTTGCACTCCAGGCGAAGGGTGCCAAGAGCGCAAAACCTGCATGATGGGTGATGCCGTGACCCGACCACTGGGGAGTGCAGGAAGTGGGTGTTGTATTCTATCTCCAGAGGTGCTTCTGTTGCAAAACTGCCAGGGCCTGATGCTGCTGCTACTGCATGGCATTCATAGGAAGCCAACTCCAGTGCGAGGAAGTAACATACAAGAGGTCACGCTGAAGAAACATGCAGCATTGAAGCGAACTCAGGTTGCAGCTTGGTACATTCTTTGCACAAAACGGTCTGTGAACAGTTCGTGCGCAATCACTGATGGGTTACTGATGGGTCACTGATTACATCATGTCATGCCACCGGTGTTTGGAATTCTTATATAGTCTGAAATTCGCTTCATTGGTATCTAGTACATGTCACCTGTCGCCGGATTTACATGCTACAGTGCATCGATGTTTAGAACGCTAAAGCCTTTGGCTGAAAGATGGATGTAGTGCATTGTGATCAAAACAATTCAATCAAAGGACAAGCAGGTTCAACTATAGCACTTGATGAGACGTTTACAGTGCGTCAGACTTTAGCATCTTCCGAGACGATTCTTCTCAGCAAGTCATCTCTTGCTCAATGGATGCGAAGGATGAGAGATCGGAGCGTGGCCCCACAGTTTGCGAAGTGATCAGAGTGTCAGAGGTCAATGTCCTACTCCCTCGAAAGAGCAAATTGAGACGCCGCATGCGCTGCGACGTTGCAGTTTCGCCTGCAGGAGAGGAAGTCCAAATCATTACGAGCGCATCCAATGTCAAAGAAGGTTACAAGTTCATCGTAGCACTTCCGGGCCACAAGACTGCCATTGGCGTGGTGGAGATTGAACAAGTGGGCGAGTTCAAAAGTTTTGGCCGGTTTTGTGGACCCGCCGAGATGGGCTGGCGTTGTAACATTTTGAACAGCCAAAATGCTATTATGCTGCCTGATTCGGCTAAAGTGGGGGATCCTGCGCCCTCGTATGATGAAGCATTGCTTGCTTTTCATCACAACCAGAAGCACCAAAGATTGTCAGAGAAAATCAAGAAGGAAGAACGGGTATGTCGAAGAGACATGGCGCTCCAGGACGCCAAAATTCGGAGCTTGCAGAAAGAACTGACTTCAGAGCGTTCACGGATGGAGAAGACAACAAAGCACCATCAAGAAGAGATGGCACAGAAGAATGACGAAAATCAGCGTTTGAGCGATGAATTGAGAAAGCTCCAGATGGAGCTAGTGCAAGTCAAAGAAGAGCAGGGCAAAAAGTCTTCTTGTGTGGACGGGGCATCCTGGAAATATCAGGGCGATAATGGCGAATGGACTCCGGTTTCAGATTCTCAGCTGATCAGAGACAGGAAAAAGGGGTTGCTGTCCTTCACGTGAAAACAACATAAGACACGGGTGTATGCATGAAGCCCTCTGAAGTTGCAACTAACAAGTTTTCCTCAAAAGCTTCAAACTAGTAAATATCAGAAAGGTGGTAGTAGCTAGCAGTGTCAGTCCAGCTGCGCTTTGTAAGTCACGTTCCCTCACATTCTTTTGTGCAACGAAGCTCAAGATCAACACAGAGGAAGGTGGAGGAAAAGTGAGGAAAACATGTGGACATGTGACTGTGTTTCTGGTAGGTGTTCATGAATCATCCGGTTGTTTCATGTTTTTTCACCTGCATCCCAGCCTCACGTTTTGCAACCGAGGACAAGGCACATCAAGAGCTTACAGTCAAGCATAGAGAAGGCCGAAAAACCTGCCAGCTTGTCACAGACGGGAGAATCTATGACATCGATTTCACCAAGATGGTCCAGGTGAACCGGCAGACCCAAAAGACACGGAAGATCCGTTGTTTCTTCAACCTTCCACCGCATTGGGGCATCAGTGATGACGATGCTTTGAAGTCTCAAGCCAATGGACATGACTGGATGGGGCCAACGAATCACATCGATGCTGTCACCGATAAATGTCTCCTCGGCAAATTGAACAACCTCCTCAACAGGTCACTGCACCGTCATGATGGGCAACGCTGTACTTGTCCTCACGGAGATTCTAGATTCCAGCTGCTCGAAGCATACCAGGTCAGGAATTTGCCCCTTTGGCGAGCACAACAATGGTATGCTCAAAACATTCGTGACAAACATAAGAGGTATGGAAGCAATCCTAAAGCTATTGAACCATCAGTTGGCCAGGAATTGCGACGATTTGCTGCGGAGATTGAGGTCGACCTAGATGGCAACGAGCTCTTGTTGTTTCATGGCACCACGAGCTTTGATGTTGCAAAAAGAATTGCCAACATGGGCTTTGACCACCTATGCGGCGATGGTGGGTTCTATGGGTACGGGACCTACTTTGCAGCTCAGACCTGCAAAAGTGCTCAATACGCCCACGCAAGAAGCAGGCACGAAAAGGCATCACGGCATAAACCTGGGACTATCATTGTTGCCCGCGTGGCAGTCGGAGATCCATTCTACACACCTCGTACATGCCTGACCAGTCGAGGTGCCGTGGCACCATTCAGCACAAGTTTTTTTTTTGGGGGGTGTGGGTCAGTGGGTCCCGGTGTTTTTTACTGGTTTCCAGGCAAGATGAGTCATTTGTCATGGCCAGTTTGCTACTAAGGGCCACCTCTTCATAGACTTCATACTCGTAGCAGCGTCGAAGAAGTCCGACTTGATAGCATCATTGCAAAGCCAGGTATACCAAATGATCCAACCGGGCAAAGTGACTCAGTGCAAGCTCACATGGAATTTGTGACTTTTGCACCGGAACAAGCCTACCCGGAGTACATCCTTAGTTTCGTTGAAGTTAGTGGCAGGGAGACCTACCATGAGAATCCATGAGTTGGATGTGTTCGCTCTTCGCGAGGCCCTTTGGGTCTCCTGGATCTTTTTAAACCAAAGACCAGACTGGAAGACTGCAAAGAAAGGTCGGGGAAGGTTCGGAGCAGATTCAGGGTTGCTTGAACTATCAGTCAGCAAGTCTGGATAAAGCAACTCTTTTTGCCCTGAAGATGGGTACTCATGACCATGGATCTTACTTCTTGAAGTGGAACAGTTCTCGAGAGCCTCGTCAACAGCCTCGTCATTAGCACACTACAGCATTTCAAGCAAAGTGTAGCAGAGTAGCTGTGGTCTAGCACTGCAGTTCAGATTGGTGATCCGCGCAGAGATACTGAATGTAGACAACTTTGAAAGACTTCCCCTTTCCAACCAGTACAAACCCATGGTTTTCAGGGTCTGAAATCTTTGTGAGTGCAATCCACGAGTGCAATCCTCATGTCTTGTCAGCGTTGGGATCCAAATCTGCACCTCATCTCTTCGGGGTTCGATGTGATCGAACCCACACTGCTCGCCCCAGGATTGCAGCTCTCCGCGGAAGCGAACCCGGACCAAAAAGCACCGGCTGACCAATATGATGACGTTTGCAGATGAAAGCATTCTGGTGTTTTCCTCCAACTGGCAGTTAGACTAATTGAATTGCATTTCATTCGTGCAGGTGGAAGCATCCCTGGCAAAACTTATGTAGTTGGAGAACGCTCATCTCATTTGATCTTCAATGACACGGTGATCAAGGGTGGCAGTCCCACTGGCACCTTGATGTTGTATTTGCGCGTATCCCCCAGGAGCCTTTTGCTCTGATTGTGTGAGGGGATGACCCTTCGATTGGTTCGACTCCATGGTTCAACTATACCTTCGATTGGTTCGCACCCAGGTGCGAGGAATGCGTCCCTTCCGAGCCGGGCCTTGCGACGAACGGCATCCAGAGCTTCGCAAGAGGCTCCGTGAGTGAGTGAATAGTCGGCGCCCATACTCCCTCTAACAACCACCGTGTTTGGACATAGCTGTGGTTGCGTTCATTCAAGAAATTAGTCTCTTGTTTCTAAGCTGTCTTTTTGGGACGGGGTGGGTGTAGAGAACAAGATGCTGCTAGTGTAGGCTGCGGATGAGTGCATGTCATTGGCATTGCTAGGAGGAAAAACATCTCTCCTTGGTTTGTCCCGAACACTCCTGACCGCATGATTAGAATGGATGTATCTGTATGAGTGAGTACACATCTTCTGTTTTACATCACTGTGCCCGTTCGGGTCTAGAAGGGGCGTATCTGTCAGACCGAGAGGCGAGTAGCAGATCAAATTAGATGGTCTACGCTTATACGCTTATACTAAAGTCCAACTGTTAAAAAACCAAAAAGACAAGGACAGATGGACCGTAGCAGGAGCAGAACACCGGGTTACGATACTTTTGGAAGTTTAACACCTCAGGTGGTTGGCTTGAGCAACAAAGAACAAAACAAGTGAAGACAAAAGTATCTCAATCCGTGACATCTGCAATCATGTCCTGAGGCTGTGGTCTAAGTATGTGAAGTCTATAGAACGTAACATCGTAGTGCAGGAATCTGGAGTGAAGCGTTCCGTAGAAAAGGCCCCACAACAACAGAGCAAAAAACAAGGCTCATCAACGCAGAGATCCAGAGGCCTCTGGCTGCCCTGTGCTCTTCCTAGATCCTGTCAGGCGGAGGGGTTGGGGGGAATGGGGAGAGCTGGGAAACGCATGGAAATGGTTTGACATAGTTTGGCTGGACAATCGACCACGTGGAGGAGAAAGCATGGGAAAGAATGGTTAGTAGAACCAGCGCAGCTCGTCACTGACATGGAAGTGGACAGCCCCTGTAGAGTCGAAGAGCGGTCTTCCAGCGGCCCATGTGTCCATCATTTTTTCCACTTTCCAATGTGATGTGTTCGTCAGAGTCTATGAGAAGAGCTTTGGAGATCCTTGGGGAGATCAAGAGTCTTGCGGAAAAAGATGCACCTCGACAGATGGACCGTAGCTCCAGAAACCGACACGGCGTTCACGTTCAACTTTCAACAGGTTCACTTTCATCAAGTCTTGAGAGGCCCCGATCAACAAACACCTCATGTTTATGTTTCCACTCGGCACAAAAAACCATGCGGCCCATGCTCCTCCAGATGGTTTGTGCCTCGGAAGAAGCACCCACCCCACCCCTTGGCTGACCGGCTTTGGGCCGCTTTTTGGAGGCCCAGCGTGTCCAGTCGCTTGGCGGAGCGGGAGCGGCCAGCGCGGCCGGTGGAGGTGTCCTTCCGAGGCGGTTGAGTGTGGGGGGTCCTGTAGCTGGTGGGGAAAGGAAGAGATTTGCGCATCCATGTGAAACACCCTGCCAGCAGGGAAATCCAGATTCTGAACGTAACATGCATGATGTGTAGTTCAATTGCCTTCTCAAGTTGGAGCCTTTTGCTGCATAACGTTGCGAGTTGCACAGCGTGGGTATTGTGTTCTGCTATACGCTGGGGCAAACTCGGAACATCCTGGAGAATCCTGGAAACTTATGGATGTATTTTAATAATGAGACTCCCAACCATTGGGTTTTTGGCCTTTGCTGTTTCATGCAGTCGACGACATGCCGTGGCCACCCCCAGCTTAGCGTGAGGTAGACACACCGAAAACGGACCTCGTTGTTCAAGGTCTCCAACAATTCTTCATATTCAATGTGGACTTGCGTCCGGCATGAAAGAATTTCCACAAACTTTCAGCCACACGATCGTGAATCGGTAGCTTCAACTTCTGTAAGATATAGAAGGTCGGGTTATGAAAACCTAACCGCTTCAAAGCACCACGGTGGCATGAGAATGGTCCAAAGTCAAGGACTGTCCCAAGCCGTTTGACAAATTGCACAAAAATTCTAAGTTGCGAACTCAAATCACACCGCTGAAGGTCAGCCCGCACGGATTCATCGTGCATGACAAAAGCAGTGCTTCGAGATCTAGTCTTCTTCAATGTTCGGTCGTAGACCGGAGCCATATGGCCGGTCGACATGGAAAATGAGATGTAAATCTCCAAAAGGCTAGTCTCACCAGGGCCCAACCATTGGGTTTTGGTCTACTTTCTTTCTTCCACGTGGTCGGACATGTTGAGAGCTGCAGGGGATGAGACCGTGCCGGAGGCGAGCGCGGGAACCACCCACCGTGGCTGTGAGAATAGGTATCGTTTGAGACATTCGTTTGGTTTTAGTGTCATCCAGCTGGGATAGATCCTATACTCTTGCATCATATCATGCAAACCTTTTGACTTGGTCATGATATGCTCATACAATCTCATACTGCCGCACTTAACAGTGTATCGCTATGTTTTAAATCCCAGGCTTTGGAACTTTGGGGCAAAGAAATATGGACTCTTGGATCAGAGGCTTTGCAATACATGGAGGACGCTCTTGCCACGGCAGATGCCTATCCCAGACACGACCCATAGGACAAATGTTCGATGGTTGAAAAGGAGTCAAAGTAGGCACATATTCCCGTCACATCGAGTGTGTACCTGGCTATTTGACATGGCTGTAACTGGCAAATGCGAGGCAACAAACGGTTGCAAATCTTGCGAAACATTAGTGAGGCAAGTGACCCATACTTCGGGGCGGGTTGATGGTTTCTTTCCAGGACAGTCCAGGGTTTCACTATCCAGTGCTATGCCAGCGCACCGAATGAGTGCTCGCAAGCTCACGGGTGTGAAGGATTCCACAGATCACTTAGTAACTTAGTAAGTTAATCTTCTAAGGACTTCGCCCTAGAGCAGGCCTTATGACTGATTATAATATAATATAGCAACAACTTGCGGGCAGGCTTTGGACGAGCGGAAATGGGCATGTTTCCTGATTTGGTACAAACATGTACGATCTGACCTTCCGCAAATCAGCCAATAAGCACAGCGAGGCAACTTTCTGTAGACTGTATCAGAGAAGATCTTGTTCACCACCAATCAACAGGTCTACCAGTCGAAACCCAAACTCGCCAAACTAGCCGGGCACTTATGGCTTTTGGAGGACAGTCAACCCTCCCCATTCCCACGGCGGTTGTTGATGGATCACCGCCGAAACTCGTGCCGAACCACACCGAGAAACTCGCGCACCGGTGGCTGCCGTTTCGCTGGGAGGCTCTCAACCGAGTGCAACCAGAGGTGGTGGTTGTGCGTTCCTCGAAGTTGAAGGACCGTCCGAGTTGAAGGCCGTGGCGTTTCCGATTCCGCGGGTGCAGTTGAGGTGGTGCTTCCGACTCAGCGTTTGGGCAACATTGGAGCGGGAATGGGTCGGTTTTTTGGGAGGACTCTTTTTTCCAAGTGGGTTTGAGATGTTGGACCAGAACGTCTGTCGTTCAGGGCGCTCGGAACTGCTTCAGGGCGCCCGGTCGAAGATTGGATTTGGCCACTCAGAGGCCCGCCGCTCAAAAATGCAGACCAGCTCGGCATATCAAACGTTGATTTTGTGGGGTGGTCAGTGGTCAAGTCGGCTTGAGGAAGAAACAAGGACCCAATCAATCCGTCAAAATCAGATCTGTGCGGTCGACCGCTTCTCAGACGCAAACGGAAGGGTAGTGCATAGAAAGGGTTTTGCAAAAGCCTATTCTACTAAAATCGTGGAAGGCGTGGGACATTCTGACATTCGTAGAACCCAAGGCTATTCGTGGACAGTTCGTGGAATGGTGGGCCAGTAGGAGAACTGACTGCAACGAAATTCCAGAAACCTTCGCAGAACTTGCATATTTTTGATGCACTAACTATAAGCGATTTTTGCTGACCCCCTTTCTCCACACACCCTCCATTTAGCCTTCAGCTTCGGCTCGACATGATGAGCGTCAGCATGTGCAAGAGATGCTCAGCACACAAGAGATGCTCGGTGTGCTGAGTGTGATTCAGTGTAGACAGAAATTTGGAGCACATCGCAAGCATATCAATGAAACAAATAGGTAATGAAGAAGCGATAACACAAGGACAATGAGCGCTCAGACTTGGGGTTACTTGCCCACCCCACTTAACAACGAAGCAGTTAAACCCGGTTAAACCCAGAGTTCTTGGCTGAAACCATTTGCGGTGGCCAGGTCGCTACCGGGGGAGAACTACGTACTGTACCTGTTTTTTCGCTCTTTTTTGGGTGCAGGGCGTCATTTCGAAGACGCCGAAGTCAGCCCAAGTCCCAGATTTTATTGTCCGATGAGCTGCAACTCAAATCACCTCAGCTTGTGCCGCACGCACCCACGTCTTTCCGCACCGTGCAGAATCCACTGGCTGCGCCAGTGGCTGCGCCATGCCGCGCCGGGCACGAGCAGGGCCAGTATCGTCACGGGTTCGGTCCCATGATGCTGATCAGGCGGGATGAGGAGGGGGAAGATGAGGATTCAGGTGACTTGATGAGGCCATTTTTGGTTTGAGGACGCCATTTTTACGGTGTGTGGGCTTGTTCGAGGCAGTGGCCCAAAGTCACAATGGGCAGGTAGCCTTGCAGTGAAGTGAGCAGAGACCTGAGAGTTTCTTGGGGATGTTCGATTATCCAGTACTGGGTGCCACTTCGTCCATTCTATCTCATATTGACTCAGGTGCGAGGCTATCAAATCAGGTGATAGGAGGGTAATTGATGTAATTAGAGTAGCCCATTGACCTGCAGGTATGAGCAGAGAAAGTCTCACCAAACCCTTTTCGTTGTATGGGTTGTACATCCATACATTCAGATAGATCCTTATGGGTATTGGTTGTACATCCTATAAGGAATAGACAGTGGAAAAGACTTTTGAGCACAAGCGCTCGCGTTGATGACATTCAGCCTTCACGGGTGTTTGCGCAAGAAGGTGGGACCGATCAGTGCTCGCTGCCGTTGAGTTACTGCGAAAAAAACGGCCGGAGCTTTTGGATGTCCCAGTGTGTGCTTTGTGTGGTGAAGTGAAGAACAACAGGGTGGCATCCTTTAAGAATGTGCTTGGAGTCGCTTGACAGTTCGGCCAGATCCCTTTGGGGGCTATGATGGTCCTGGAAGTGCGGCAGCGAAGTGCGTCAGGCAGAGGCGACAGCAGCAGCGGACGACAGCAGCGGCGAGGAGGGAGAGACGACCCACACGGGCATCAACCCGACCATGATGAACGCACGTTTCGGTCACGTGGCGTTGGGCGTTGGGCGTTGGTTGATCCAGGACATCGGAGCACTGTGATGGAGGAATATGGAGGCCATATACAGTAATCAGTTCTTGTGGACAAGGATCATGCAAAGTGTCAAGGTGTCCTTTTCTATTGTGTTTGGCAGTACTCACGACTCACGATGTTCAAAGTTGTTGTTCAACCAACCAGTAAGGTCAGACTCTGCGAAATGGTGGGAAGTGGACTTTGGTATGGGGGCGTTGGAGCCTATAGTACCTCGATATTACTGAGTTAATCCATGGGAGTTGATGGAAAACCCCGTGTAAGGAGTTTTATACAAAACAGCCTTTCAGATGTTGTTAGAACCATCCGCGAAAGATTCGCGATGAGGTTCGCGAAAGTATCTTTTTTTCCGCGAAAGATTTATCGAAGGTCATCGGTTTCATAACTCCTTTCTACCGGACTGACAAAGAATAGAAATACAAGGCAATCCTCCGGCAGAGCCGGTGGGCGGAAGTGTCCCCATATGTCACAGACTAACGAACTGAAGCCTCAACATTTCCGTGCCCAGCCCTGGCAGCGCGTAAAGGATTCTCCGATTCCTGTCCCCACTGTCACAGACTAGCAACCTGAGTAGGCACAGCCCTGACAGTTAGGCAACGACCTGCAGCTGCTCTGACGGGCTGTGCAGATGTTTGCAAAAGTTACGGGTTGCCGGGGAAAGCACCAGTGAAATTTCGCGAAAGCTTCGCGAATGTGCCGCTAAAGTCCAAGTTCCCAGCTTGAGGCCCCCAGCTGTGTCTGATTCTATTTGGCACAATTTTCGCACAGATGCTGCAAGTGACCCTGAGTAGCTGTGGGAACGCTCAACCTTCTGCTGGGGTCATGCTGCAAGATGTCTGTCCCTACTTTGTGATACTATGACATGTTCCGGCTCATGTTAGCTATAGACATGGTTGTAGGACCATGCTTCGCGATGAGGCCGCGAAAGATACCTGTTTTTCCGCGAAGAATGGCCGTTCCAGGATGAAAGAATATTGATCAACCACCACATGTTAATGCATGTTAATACTAGAATCTTCCGAAAGTGCGATCGTTTGCACGAGTAGCTATTGCGGCCATCATTGTTTGCCTGAGGCAACAGCGCCAGTCACCCTCTGGGATGGTCTGGCACAGGACCCAAGAGAGCTTCAGCCCAGGTGGGACAGGAAGAAACTTTGGGAGGGATGCTATGGGAGGTACACCATGCCAAACTTCACAGGGTCGTTGGTTTGGGAGGCTTTGGGTACAGGAACATGTGTATATATTATATATAGTGACCTTGTTGGATGCTGCATGGTCGAGCATGGTGCAGGCACGGAAAGTAATCTACTTTACTTTTTATTTCTGCAGATGAACTATTCCATCCGTTCATCAAAACAGAAGCTGCGGCTAATGATGAAGCCATGTTCAGGTACGGTCCCGCCTAACTGACTACAGTTCATGAGAGTAGCACTAGCAGCTAGCACGAGAGTCACGAGAGTGGGTTTGCGTTGAGTTTGTTTAGAAGGAGCGAGCTGAGCTGCTCGTTTATTTGGGTGATGGTTTCAGACGCCTCAAAGAGGCGTGGCCAGAAATTTGGGTGAAGCCGGGCCGATGGAGGATGTTTTCATTTGAAACCATGCTCCTTCCAACCAGCCCATGGCATTCACCCGTTGAAGATTTCCTTTGAGACCCCGTATCAGGTGCAAATCTGCCATCTAGTTGTTGCTACCCTGCGGGACACACATGCACTGAACCCTTGTAAGAACTTGAAGCTTGCTTTCTGTACTTCCAACCAAACAAGCGACATCACTCAACCAACCACTCCAACCCATGAAGCGAAATGCATGTTGTTTCAGGTCTGAAATCCTTTTGCTGCGTCGTCGGAGTTAGCGGCGAGTTTTGGGCAGGCCACGCGGGCAGAAAGAGGCGCGACAGGGTGGAGCCAGGCAGAAGACCTGGGAGTGTACCAGGAGTTCTTGGCTGCCGCAGCACAAGTGCCTGAAGCCCTCCCCAGGCCAAGTCCGGGGATCAGATCAGAGCGAGTGGGGAACGGGAATGGCACATCTGGAGGGCTTCTCGGTTTGTTGGCACTTGAACTGAGTCTCTTGATGGTTCACGGACGTTCCCTTGAGAACTTCGGCCTTGAAGCTGATTTACGGTGTGCTGACGTATGAATGGGGTACTTGACCGCGCTGCCTTCCACGTCCTGATCCACCGGGGAAGAAGGTACTCGTTGATCATAGAACTGGCATCAGTTCCGCGCTGCTCGAGCACCCCAGCAGTTTCTTGACCAAGCAGCTTCTTCGCTGCTCGAGCTTCCGGAAAGCCAAGCTTGGCCGAGTGACCCTCAGTGAAAGACCTGTTGGGTTCCCAAGTCGTCTGGGTGAGTGTTATGAACCAAACAGGATGGGCCGTTCAACCTGGAGTCGACGGTGTTCGCTTCACCCTCGTGCCCGGTCGTGAAAAAAGCCCTGGTGGGGTCCCATGAACTGAAAGGCGACTGATGAAGCCACTGGGCACCTGATGAAGCGTTGGGTCCAATGAACCTGCTTCAGAAGGCCGCTAGGCCGCTAGGCATTGGAGATGAGGCATTGGAGTTGATAACTTCAACTCAATCGTCAATCGTCCAATTAGGGGGTGTATTCCGAATTCCGGAGCTCATGTGGCAGTGGAGAAAGACCAGCTCCAAATCCTGATAGGTTGACCTGCTTAGGCTAGTCTGTTGATGTTCGGTGGTCAACCAGGGATGACCCCACTGCCATGACCCCACTGCCATGTCGTTTTTCCTTCAACCAACTCGGCTGTCCTTTGCCACCCAGTCGTTTTGGGCCTGAGCTCCGGTCTGTCACCGATCGCAGGCCCGTGGCCCTGGACTTGGACGTGCGTGTGGTGCTGAACCTGCCCCCGCAGAGCCCAGTGGCCGCTGAGCTCCAGGTGGTGCTTTGGGCAGCAAGAAGGTCATGGAAGATGCAGCGTGGAACCTGGTCAAGTCGATGGGGTTATTTAGGATCACTGATATCACTGATATCTACACCCCCCCAAACGACTAACATGGAACCTGAGGATTGACCGGCGGTTTCGACCATTTTTCCGAATACCAACCTAGTGGTTTTGGGGTTCCATGTTTGTCTGCAGGGGAGTATATCATCATATATCATCCTTTAATTTAGTTAATTTGGCTGCGGGTCAAAACCACCTCTTTTGACTGTCCATGTCCCGTGCCTCTATGTCTTTTATTGTCTTCTTGCTCCACAGTGGGCGAGAAGGTCAGCTAGCTTCCTCTTGACCCTGGCTGATATCGCGGCGTAAAACCTGGAGCCCTGAGACGACCATGGTAGCGAACGACCGACACCTATAGGTCACTCAAAGTAGCCTCACGCAAATAGGACGAGGAAGGACCTACATGGGGGGCCCATGTAGCCTTCGACTGGAAATACCGTCCATCGATGGAGTTGATAGCAGTTGTATCAACAACATGTTCACGACCACTCGGCATTCGTCCACCATACCATCCGGATGGACTGGTGCCTTCACCACATACAACACCTATCTTGACAACCACAGAGAACACAACAATCCAAAAAACACACAAAAAACCTTAAAGTCTTAAGGAAGCATTCAATATGGGGGAATCCCTTGATTTGATTCCGGTGCCGACCTGCCCAAACTAGGAATTCGTTCAACACTTTGTCAAAACTTGTCGCACCACCTGTGCAATTT